ATGGAGAGGGAGACAGATAGTGCGCGAGAGCGAATGAGATGGCAGCATAGCTGCTGGCTGCTCTAAAATTAACACACGTTTAATATGCAAGTCGTGCATAAATTTTCGTGCTGCCATTTTGTGCTCAGTGCATGCAGTTTGCTTGTCCGAGAGCTTTATGCTTTTTAATTTACCGTCAGACGTCAGCACGACAAGGACCACGACATTGCGGGCGACATGTCAACGCCACAGAAGCGCCCGCGTAGTCGCAGTCAGCTCCAGAGTCTGAGGCAATCATGGACATTGGACATTGGCTGCCCTTCTTTCACTCATTCCATTTCCATCTCTCTCTCTTTCTTCTCTTCTATATTTTTCAACGGATTTTTTGCTGAGACTTTCTACCCTGCCCTGTGTCTGCGGCTTTGTTGTTGCTGGCATGGCTGCAATGCAATGGCTGGCGGCGGCTCGTTATCGTCATTATCATGGCCAGCATTAATGTTGATGCGCTTTAATTGGCAATTCAGTTGATGCAAGTCGCCGACCCAGGCAACCCGGCGTCACAGCGTCAAGACCAGCTCCACATCCAGCGCCACCAATAGCCTGACAAGTGCACGCTGCCATAGCCAGCGAGCGTAAATTTTATAATTTCATTATAAATGACCGCTACGCCCAACAGGCAATCAGTGCATGCGTTTATTAAAGTCAGCAACACTGTTGTTGCCGTCACAGCTTGGGCACGCCCTAGAGCCTAAGCGTGCCTTGATAGACTTTTGCAAATGTCCAGATATCGTTTATGTAACGAATACATCCACATTAATTATTGCACTAGGCAGCATACAGTTTAGCCTATAGACAAGAAACTTATGGCTTATTACCATAGAAGTCGCAGTCCTTTAAATCCCACACACTTCGATAGTCCGCAGCGCTAATGCTTCAGTCCTTTCTATCTGCATAATCATAATAAAATCAGAAAGATCAACTAGCTGAAAGAGTATTTTACAAATATATATTTTTATTGTGACTGTAAAAATATTATTTTGTATTCATAATTAGATAAAAAGCAGATCGAATATGTAACAATTTTTACTTATATAACATTTAGAAAAGTACAACTTTTTGAATATTGTTCTCTCTACAATATATTACAATGATGATCTTCGTTTTATATATGAAGACTTTGTATTTCTTATACTTGTTTTCGATACAAAATTGTATAATATTCCAAATTGAACACATTTTCCAAATTGAACACATTTTTGTAAGATACTTAATAAGAATATTTTAATTACTAGCAATTCATTTAAAAACTTTGCACATAACTTAACTAGCTAAAAACTTCTTTCTTTCACTTGGTACAATCATCGTAAACATCTAAATTTATGTGTTTTGCACAATTATGCATATAGGCAAAAACTATTAGCCAAGAGTCGCATTTTCTTGAAGCCAATTTTGGCGGAAGCCTCAGAGCTAACGCCCACTTCGTGTGCCGTGCTCAGCCATTTGTCTCCCCTTTCTCTGGTGGACTGGCCTGCCAAAATTCTCTTTTTGGCACCCATAAACGACAACTGTTGCCAAGGCAAGTGGCATAAAGCAAATCGGCATTGGCATCATCGTCAGCGTAAGCATCAGCGTCAGTCTCTGTCTCTGTCCGCCTCCTTCTCCAGCTTCAGTTCGCGGCAGCATCTAATTAGATTGTTCTGGCAGCCGTACAAATATTCCGTTTGCCGAGTTGGCGCCAGCAGTGGCTGCCAGTTCAAAATTGTTAAATAATTTAAAAATAAATTAGCGGCAATTTTTATCCATGTGAGACAGACACTGAAAAATAAAAATGCCATGAAAATCGCAACCAATTTCATGCATAACAGTTAAATAAAATTTAATTTGGCAGAAAAGCGAACGAAATGAGAGTTTAAACGCCAAATAGAATGCGAGAAAAGCAAATGCTAAATGCACAAATGACCAAACAATATAAAAATTTCAGTCGCGGAAAGAGAACCAAATGAAGACAGAGACAGATACTACAAGTGGAAAGTGGGGCCTCTAGAGATTCTTTCGGCAGTAGCTCCTTTGCTTCTAATGAACACAACAAATTTGTATAGCAGCAACAGAAACAGGCACTAAAACAAATGAAGTCCGTCCGCATTAATTATTAATATTAATATTTCAAAGTGCGCCAAATACGATAAACAAAATGGCAGAGAAAATCAAGTTAGAAAGTAACTACATAATATTAGTTTATTTTAATCAAAATTGGGATTCTTTTATTTGCATTCTGAATCAGTTCAGTAAATCAAAATAAGTAAAAATTAAGAAGAGCGCACTACTTGGGAGAATACAGCTGCGAGTCTCGGCAGAGTTAGTGCTTCAAGCAGTCTAGCTTAAAGCTCATAGCTGTTCACAAATTCACAAATGTAGTCCTCTTGGCAAGCGCTTAACCTTAATTTTTAATACTGACACTTTCTGAAAAAATAATTTTTTTTCCTTTATTTTCCAATGGTTTGTAACTGTGAAAAACTGGATGTGTCAACTGGCGAATTGCCCGCAGTGAATTTTCACTGATATCTTTTTTTGTTACCCGGTATTGTGTTACAAAATAATTTTTATAAAAACATATTTATTAAATAAAAAAACAGATATGAAACTGCACCAGATATTGATGCACCAGACTGTACAATACTTGTCCACAACGCTGTTTTCTTATATAAGTCAAACAAAATACCAATTCGTCATCATCATCATTAAATTTCTGATACAAATAATTTTTTCACGCTGTATTTTCGCAGATTTTTTCTGAATTGGATATATACAAATATGTTTTAATATACATATATAAAAAATAAATAAATAAATAAATATATATATATATATATATATATATATATATATATATATATATATATATATATATATATATATATATATATATATATATATATATATATATGTGTGTTTTAATTGCAACTTATTTGTGCAACTCGCTTTATATATCACGTTATTAATTAAAAATAATTTTTGATATATATGAATTTGCTTATCACGTATTCAATAATTCGATCGAGTTTCATTCAACAGTCACGCAATAATGGCAAATTCCTAAAGCTTATTATTACTGATAAAGGAGTTAATTCTACTTTGCACCTCACATTCTTTTATTATCTTGTAATTGGCGAGAGCTGAAAAATGAATAGGGTATAAATTCAACAAGTACTAAAAAAAAATAAATGAAGAAAACGAACTTAATTTCAACAACAAGCAAAAATAAATGGCTTAAAAAATTTAACAACGGGAAGCAGCAGACGGCTGGGAAAAAACAGATAACAATGAAAACCACAAAGCGCCGGTTTTGTTTGTGAGCGTCGCATACAGGGATGCTATGTATGTATGTCGCACACAGGGATGCTATATATGTCTGCGTGTGTGTGAGTGTGTGTGTGCATATTTCGCCTGCCAATCAACTCAGCAATCGCAATCAATTCGCACGCCACTGCTGCAGTCACAGGGCAGTGTGGCTGAGGTTCCACCCAGTTCGAGGGTATTGTCATAGTGCAGCTGCCACTGTCATTTCAAAGTGAGTGTCTGTGTGCGTGTGTGTGTGAGTGTGTGTATGCGTGTGTTTGTGTATGTGTGATATATCAGCAAAAACCAAAATAAAAAGTGTTGTCGCCGCAATGCCTTTTTTAATTACGTTACTGCGCCATTAAGGACCGCAGTGTCTGGCCATGAATCAACACAATGAATATGAAATGCGCTTAAGATTTGCGGCAAACGTTTCAAATGCGTTGAGGGAAATCAACTCATACTGTTCACTGAGTACAATACCTAAAAGTTGCCCAAATTTATGGCCATTATATTGAAATCATAAGCGGAATACGCATACGCCGCGTTGACGCATGCTTATGTACAAATTGCCAAGTATTGTTATGCTAAATTTATTTGTGCTCACTCATAAGCTCACAGTGAGACATATGTGTGTGGCCGTAAATTTTGCTGGCACTGGTAACTTCATCAGGAGCACGATTGAAACGCAGCTTCCGTTTCCGCCTCAAAATGGCTACCGCTGCCGCTGGTGACTTTGCTTGCAAACAAATCAGCTTGAACTTCCGTTTCATTTCGCATTTTTTGTCATTTCATATTCTTTTTCAAGTTAACCCCTATGCCAGTCCCCCTCAGGAATATCTCAGCATTTTTCACTGTGCATTTTAGAGACTTTTGCGTAAATTTACTTTTCACTTTCAGCGCCTGGCATCAGAAAAGTTTTGTGCATAGCTAACTTTTGGTTCGCTTAATGTATATTTTCATATATTTTTTCTTCACCCAGCTGCTTTTCAATGTCAGTGCACACACACACGACGTGCACTCCTAGGTATGAGGAAACGGAAACTTTGTCTGTTTGGCATTTCATTTCCTTCATTTTGGTTTTTGCACCTCGAAGCATTGAACATGTGTGTAGATTTCAGTGGGACCGTGATTCTGTTTAATTTGATGCTTGGCTGCTTATTTAAATTCTTTCCTTCGCCCATATTTAAATTTTGTTTGTTTTCTCTTGACATTCTATTTCGAAATCAATCAGCGCGGCACGTGTTGTGGTCGAGGCTGATACCTTTCAGCCATAACAATGCCAATACCAATATTTTAGGGCATCAACAGTCGACGTTAGCAAATAGGGCTCCATTACAGCAACTCAAATTTAAATTAGCATCTATTTTTGAGCTGCCAAGTGATGCGTAGCGAAAAAAGAATTACAAATGAATCTCTCAATGAGCCCAAAATACAATTTAAATTACAATTTTTAAGGTCAAAGAGTTTTGCGATTAAGCCATGCAAATAAAAGACAAAATTACAAAAAAAGAGAAACTTTTTAAACTGCCAAAGAGAACCTTTCCAGTCTGACGGCTCTCTCAGTTTGTCTAATTCTATTTTCACTCAAAAGTTTATGATAACAAATTATCAAAAATAAAAAGTGCAATCAGAACTATAAAGTATAGCCGCACATGTCGTAACCGGCTTAGTAATCAATTGGAACTCAATAGCTAACACACAAATCAAATAACAGAATGCAACTGCTTCGCATATTCTTGCTGCTTTTGGCCAGCTTGAGTCAGGTGTGGGCCTACTCCTATTTATTGATATCACATACGGCGGCCAAGTCGCATTTCTATGTGGGTCAGGCGTTGGCTAAGGGTCTGGTTGCCGCAGGACATGAGGTCACGGTGATCTCTCCGTTTCCACAAAAGAAACCCCTCAGGAATTACGTTGATGTATCAACACCGAGCATTATACCAATCATGGAAGGTAAGTGTTAATGCACCACGTTCCCGTTATCAATTGTTACCCGCGCGATAATTGTGGACGTGTAAAGCGTCGGGCAATTTCGTTATTTGTAGAAAATTAATTTTTTTTTACTCTTTCAGTGAACAAAGCCAGAATATTTGACATTGCCAAAATACCTATTGCGTTCCGCCTCCCTTTAATGCATGCCATGGGCCTCAATCTGACACGAGCCTTGATGTCTGAGCCTGCAGTTCAGACACTAATCGCACAGAATCGCACCTTCGACGCGGTCATTTGCGAAGTCTTCATGAACGAAGCGCACTACGGCTTTGCGGAGCACTTCAAGGCGCCACTGATAGCATTTAGCTCCTTCGGCGCCTCCACTTGGAGTACTTCGCTGGTTGGCACGCCATCGCCACCATCCTATGTGCCACATTTTCTACTTCAGTTTAGTGATCACATGAACTTTCTTGAGCGTGCACACAACCTCATCTTCACGGCCTATGATCACATTTTCCACAAGTTTTATTATTTGCCCCAGCAGGAGCAGATCTATAACAAATACTTTCCCAACAACAAGCAGGGCTTCGATGAAATGCGCAAGAACACAGCGCTAGTGCTGCTCAACAATCACATTTCCCTTGGATTTCCACGACCCTATGCACCCAACATGATCGAAGTGGGGGGTATGCATATCAATCGGAAGCGGCAGCCCCTGCCCCAGGACATTGAGGATTTCATCAAGGGTGCTAAGAATGGTGTCATCTACTTCTCAATGGGTTCAAACTTGAAGAGCAAAGATTTGCCCCAGGAGAAACGTCAGGCTATAACCGAAACCTTTGGCAAGCTTAAACAGCGGGTGCTATGGAAATTCGAGGAACCCAATTTGGCCGGAAAGCCAGAAAACGTATTTATCTCCGACTGGTTCCCGCAGGACGATATATTGGCGCATGAGAATGTCGTACTGTTCATCACGCATGGCGGTCTGCTGAGCACCACGGAATCCATTTACCACGGCAAGCCTTTTGTGGGAATTCCTATCTTCGGCGATCAGTTTGTTAACATGGCCCGAGCTGAACAGCTGGGCTATGGAGTCACAGTTACTTATAGCAAGCTGACTGCTGAGACGTTCGAGAATGCAATTAAGAAGATACTCACTGATCCGCAATACGCCCAGCAGGTGCGTGAGATATCTGCCAGGTTTCGGGATCAGCATGAAACGCCCTTGGAACGGGCTGTCTACTGGGTGGAGCATGTGACGAGGCAGAAGGGCGCAAAGTATCTAAGAAGCGCTGCCCAGGATTTGACCTTTATAGAATACCATAATTTAGATGTTTTAGTTATGATCGTCGGCGGATTGGGATTCATTTCGTTTGCTGTTGTTTATATACTGGTAGCTTTCGTAAGACTGATTCATAGAATATTGCGAGGTAAATCTGGAAAATTGAAACTAAATTAATTTTAAAAAATAATAATATTCTTACGGAAAAAAAAACATAAAAAATGTAAATGAGAAAAAAACAAACAGAGCTAAATATTCTTAAAACCAGTTTTTTTTTTATAAACTGGAAGTATATAAATATAGAAGTATATAGAAGTATATATATAAAATATTGTGCTCAAAAGAAAACTTTATTTATTACGAAATATTTTTATCTAGTGAGGAAGTAATAGCTTGGTATAGAATATTCATATATCAATTTACTACATATGTATAAGCACGCTTACATTGATAATGATATACTGTTGGCATATATGTAGTAATGTATATATACACTTGTGTATTCAAAATTCGTATGCATTTGAATACTAACATTACGCTCTTTCTAAAGAGCGAGCTAGCGAGCGAGAGCGAAGAGAAACAGCAATAAACGGATCAACTCTTTAGAGTCCAATATTTGTGTGTATACTTAGAGAGCAATTGGGAAATAGAATTATTTCATAACATAAGCAGGAATTTCGTTTAACTGAATGCATTAGGCACAGACATGTATGTTTATTGATATCGATTAAAATGATAAAAAGCATACAAGTGGTTTGTATTTCGAGTGTTTTTGTTTGGTCTCTCTTACGTTTGTGTTTCTAAAAGCTCAAAATACCGGCGTCGCTCAGAGGTAAAAAGCACAGGGCAAGAAAACTGGCAAAAACTCCCATGCGGGCATGCGAATACGCTACAGTTATTCTTGAGCGTAGACCATAGCCATACCATAACCATACCATATCGACAGTTGCCCCATCATCGTGATTAGACTTTAAAGTGTTTTGATACTATTTGTACTCTGTTCGATGCACGCTGACGAAACAACTTGTTCGCTTCATGTAATTCACAAAACGGAGCGTACTCTGCCTGTCTCCATGGCTTGATGTTGGAACTCGACAGCAAGCCACACGCTTTATTTTCCGAAATTGTGTGAGAGTTTCGTTAGTTTGAATCGAGTTAGCAACGCGTGTGGATCGCGTGTGGAATCGATCGTATAGTCAGCCGGTGCTCAATGCGAATTTCGCAATTACAACTAATCATTATTTGCTACTATTATTAATTTTGTAATATTGTGATTAAGAACATTAGCAATCAGAATGCCCCCCTCGAGCCGAAAAACTAGTTTTATAGGCCTCGCTTTACTCTGCCTGCTGAGCAGTGTCACGGCCTATAATTATCTCCTGGTGCTACCCACTATTGCGCGTTCCCACTACAATGTGGGTTCTGCGCTGGCCAAGGGCTTGGCGGCAGCTGGACATCAGGTGACCCTCGTCTCGCCCTTTCCCCTAAAGAAGCCCATCGAGAATATTAACGATTTGCCAGTTCCGAACGTTTTAAAAGCGATGAGCGGTAAGTAATCTCCCATGGATCGATTAACACTCGTAACGTTGTCTACAGATTGGAAAAGTGTATTTTAACGTTTTGTTAATTAAATAATGAGTGTCATATGCAGTTTCATAAGCAAGGCTATGTCTGACCAATAGAATCAACATTTACTATATATATTTACATATCACTCAAATTCATCATGTACTCTGCATCTAGATTTTAGAAATTTTGTTATATTACTATAAAGATAGCTTGAGCTATTAAAGCTATTATATAGCAGACATAAAAAGGTATTGCATATGGCATATGGCAACCGCAGATATAATATATGTACGTTTATAACAATAACTAATTTCACCTTTGTTACTTTTTAGGCGATTTAGGCAGCCTTCTGAAAAATTCCGAAAAGCCGATAATACAACAAATTATGGGATTCTATTCCATGGGTAAGATGACATGATATAGTTACTGATCGTTTTACAGTTATATTTATTCTCGTTGGCTTGTTCTAAGGCTTGCGCATAACTGAAGCATTGTTAAAGGAACCAAAAATCAATCAGCTACGTCAGTCTAATCAGACCTTCGATGCTGTCATCAACGAGGTGTTTCTGAATGAGGCTCACTTCGGTCTGGCAGAGCATTTTAATGCGCCGCTCATTGGACTTGGCACCTTTGGAGCCATTAGCTGGAACACAGATCTGGTAGGTAGTAAAGTAAAAGTGTGTATGTGAAAAGCGAGCTCACAGTTAATCTGCTTTATCAGGTAGGCTCGCCATCGCCGCCCTCCTATGTGCCGCACGCGCTGCTTAAGTTTTCGGATCATATGTCGCTGGTCGAGCGTGTCATCAATTTGGCCTTCCTTAGCTACGAGTATCTGTTCATGAAACTGTATTATTTGCCGCAGCAGGAGCTGCTCTATATGAAGTACTTTCCCGATAATAATCAGAGTTTCTACGACATGCGCAAGAACACAGCGCTGGTGCTGCTCAATCAACACGTCTCACTAAGTTTTCCCCGTCCCTACTCACCCAACATGATCGAAGTGGGCGGCATGCACATCAATCGGAAGCGCCAGCCTCTGCCCCAGGATATTCAGGATTTCATCAAGGATGCTAAGAATGGTGTCATCTACTTCTCAATGGGCTCAAACTTGAGAAGTAAGGATTTGCCGCTCGAGAAACGTCAGGCTCTAATTGAAACCTTTAGTAAGCTCAAGCAGCGGGTGCTATGGAAATTCGAGGAGCCCAATTTGGTCGGAAAGCCAGAAAACGTATTTATCTCCGACTGGTTTCCGCAAGACGATATATTGGCGCATGAGAATGTCGTACTGTTCATCACGCATGGCGGTCTGCTGAGCACCACGGAATCCATTTACCACGGCAAGCCTTTTGTGGGAATTCCCATCTTCGGCGACCAGTTCTTAAATATGGCGCGTGCTGAGCAGAATGGCTATGGCAGGACTGTGAACTATGAGGAGCTGACTGCTGAGCGACTGTTAACAGCCATTCAACAGCTTTTGCAAGATCCGCAAGCCAAGAATCTGGTCAATGACATGTCAGCACGCTACAAGGATCAGCCGCAACTGCCACTGGAGCGTGCCGTCTATTGGATTGAGCATGTGAGCCGGCATAAGGGTGCTAGATACCTGCGCAGTGCCTCGCAAGATCTTGACTTTGTGCAGTATCACAATCTGGATGCCATACTGATACTCTACGGCGGTATTTTATTTGTGCTTTACTGCCTGATGCTGTTCATACGTCGTATGTGGCGTGCTCTGCAGCAGTTCTTCATGGGTCGTCAGGCGGCACAGCCAAAACAGAAGCGTCAATAAGCTGAAATTAAACTTAAGTCTGAATTGATTCCACTGTAAATTAGAATCAGATCTGCATCGATTTGGGATACGATTTTACGATCCTGTCAGTCCGAAGTGCTGTTTAGTTTGGTTGTAAGTGTCGAAATTGTAAAATAAAATAAAAAACATTTTGTATATAGTCATCAAAGAGTTTTTTACCGACTCTAATACTTGTTATACCCTGAAATCATTGAAAATAGGAATATGGGGTAAAATGGTTTTGTAAAAATGTTTGTAAAATACAGACGAAGGTGTGGCAGATCCGATTAAGTAACGACTTTAGACAAAAGTCTTCATCAAGTATGAATGGAAATATTTCCTAAACTACTAAGTCTCGAAATTTAAAAAATATTAATATATAAAATATGTATTATTATTCCATACTTTTATAGGCAGTGGGTGGGTGCAGTTCAATCAAGCAGACCAGGTGCAGGTTTCAGGGTATCTCCTAGTCGGGCACTCCCACTTAGAGCTCTCTTTTTTTTGTTGTGTTTTTGCTTCCATTTTTCTTTGTTTCTTTCTTTGGCTAGTTGCACATAGTTAACGCTTCAGTTGTAAAAATGCCCATCAGCGCGTTCAAATTTTTAACAGTGAACCCTGAAAATGTAGTGCCAGGGATACGCCCACGCCCCCTTTGCTGAAATGTCCCGTTCCGCGCTGAGCGCTCAACGCTTTTATTTTCTTTGCTGCGCGCTTTTTTCGACAGTTGTTTGCCGGCCGGGCATGGGCGCCGCTGACTGCTTACCCAAAGGGGGTGCTGTGGTGTTTGTGTTTGTGGGAGCGGGGTGCAAAAAGCGTGTAAAAGTTTTGGCGCAACTTATTGAAACTGTTTTGGGCCATGGCCGTGCTGGAAAATCAACGTCCGCGCCGGAAATGTTGGCGGCTGTAATGGCGACGGCTGCATTAAAACTACAAGAAATATATAAAAACAAGTAAGAAAGCTCTAGTCGGGGAGCCCGACTAGGAGATACCCTGATCCCAGTTCTATCTGCGTTTATTAATATTTTCCGTAGTTTGCATTAAGTATTCAAAAAAAAAAAAAGAAACAAATAAAAAACGATATAATGAGACCAGTATTCGAACCCGGATTGTTTGCGCAACGTGCACCAACTCTGCCAATAATTTAAGAAAATAAAAATAATAAAAAAAATGTTCCACCGCCGCGAGGCTCGAACCCGAGACCAGAGACTGCACTGCTTAAGAAAAACGCTGCAAATTTGAGTTGAGTAGCAGTTGATAATTCAAGCAGTATTCAATCGCAATTTTGATTCTTGGAATAGCAAAGAATACACGCATTTGAATGTATGTGTGCACACGCATAGGAAAAATGCGTGCGAGTGGCGCTGCTGACATGTGCTTTTGCAAATTGGCCAAGCGATTTGTTTAATAACTTCTGTTTTACTTAATGGATTTTAATGAAATTTTCAGCATATGATCTACATATCCCATTGGCTTGGTTGAGATGCAAACGCCTTCACATAATGGCCCTAGTTCCAACTAAACTTTATTTTAAGAATTAGGGGAAATTTGGAGCCGGGATCCAAAATCCAACAAAAATCAAAGTTGCATAAAATATACATAAAACTAAATACAAAATTTGGAGGCTCTAGCTCTTAAGACGTGCGAGATTTAATTTATTAACTGCATTTCAATCATGTTTTTATTCGATAACAATTAAATGCGAATAGTTATCGAATATTTGAAACAAACTCGATATGCGCGTGCTGTCAATGTATAGCAAAAAAAATTCAAGTCTCTAGCTCTTATAGATGCTGAGATCCACGCGGACAGACGGACAGGGCTCAATCGACTCAGCCTGTCGTCCTGATCAAGAATATATATTATGGGGTCTGCCACGCCTCCTTCTGCCTGTTACATACATTTGCACAAAACCATTATACCCTGATTTCCCATTTTCAATGGGATTAGGGTATAAAAATTTAGCCAAAAGAAAAAGGAAGAGTAAAACTAAAACTAAAGAAAAAGTGCCAGCCAAAAAGAGGCAACCGTTTTTGTTGTTCTTCTTCATTTTATTATATTTTGTGGTAGATGTTGTTACTGGGCTTCCTGTTGATAAGCTTAAGCGTTGAGAACTCAAAATAAGAATACTTGAAATATTCATCAACTGTTCACGCGAGCGTCTGAATTGTATACTCTATATATTGTGCGCTTAAGCCAACTAGTCTGGAAGATTGATTTAATTTATTTCATTAAATTCAAGAACCAGATTAATTATGATATTTAATATATATTCACGTTCGCTTGATTTTATCATTATCATTAATGTTTGGCTGTGTTTCAATTCTGGGTATTTCCAGTGCGGCATTACCAAGAACAGCTCATCTACTAGTTTTTGTTGATGTAAATCTGAAATGCATTTAAAGCGAAATGCTGTATTTCTGTCATGACCTCATTTGTATTCATTTACTCCAATTGATTACGGATACTGGATTCAATACCTTTTTTCACGAAATATAACTTTTGTTCAGCATTGTTATAAATCCAATTTTTTTAATTAAACCTTTTCATTCAACACTTAAAATTGTTTCGTAAAACAGAGATATGTTTTTATAATCTGTATCAAGCGAAGGAACAATCGAGGTACACTAAAAAAAATTAAATTGATTTTATAGCCACATTGCACAATATAATAACTTAAAATCTGTAAAAATGGTTGTCATGCGTATACAACTGAGACACAGTGTTGGATTTTCGCTTATATTGGATCGCTCATTGAGTAACTGCTGGAAAAAACCCAGACCGGCAAGTTCTATATATGCTTATATATATAAAGCCATGCAGTTTATTCCAAGCTGTATCAGTAGACACTAAGCCTCAAGATGTTTAGTTTCGCGGCGTTCGCTTGGCTGGTTTCCTGTGCTGCTGTTCTGGGCGTTGAGGTTGAGTTGGATCTGGGCCGCATACGTGGAGTCAATCTGACATCAAGACTGGGTGTGCCGTTTCATGCTTTTCGCGGCATACGTTACGCTCAGCCTCCGCTGGCTGAGTTACGGTTCAAAAATCCGCAACCAGTGAAACCTTGGGCACCAGCTACCTTTGATGCCACCCAAGACGGCCCCATGTGCCCACAGCCGTGGGACAACATGACCGACGTGTCCGAGGACTGTTTGCGCTTGAATGTCTATTCGAAAAATCTAAATGCAACTGCTCGTCTGCCAGTGGTTGTGTTTCTGCATCCAGGCGGCTTCTATGTCTTCTCCGGGCAGAGCAAGTACTTGGCCGGTCCGGCGCATTTGATGGATCGTGATTGTGTGCTGGTGACACTGAACTACCGTCTGGGTAGCTTGGGCTTTCTGGCCACTGGCAGCGCAGAAGCCCCCGGCAATGCCGGACTTAAGGATCAGGTGCTGGCACTACGCTGGATTCAGAAGTATATCCATTTGTTTGGCGGCGACCCGCATTCAGTGACGCTCTTGGGTTACAGTGCGGGTAGTCTGAGCATAGGCTTGCACATGTTGTCCCCGATGTCACGGGGTCTGTTTCATCGTGGAATCTGCATGAGTGCCTCGCCGTACGGGCAATGGGAATATCATACATCAGATCTGCAGCTGGCGCAGCGCCAGGCCCGTTTGCTGAAATGCCCGGAGCTTCCGGTCAGAGACTTGGTCGCCTGCTTGCGTGCGAAGCCCATGTTGGACTATGTGAGCTCTTACAATGGCATGTTCGAAATTGGATGGAACCCAGTGCTAAACTGGCTGCCAGTTATCGAGCAGGACTTCGGTCAGGAGCGTTTTCTGCTCGAGCATCCGTACAAAACAGCGCTGAGTGGCAACTTCTACAAAGTGCCTCTCATCGCAGGCATCACTGAGTTTGAGTTTCTCTCGGGCGCATTCTGTGAGTAGACATACAAGAGAACTTATCAATTCTAACGGCTATCGCTTACAGTTGATTTGCGTAATGACAGCATACGTCAGAAGCTAAACGATAACTGGGAACATTATGCGCCTATTGCGTTGCTCTACGAGCGGGGCACGCCCCATTCACGAGAGGCCAGCACTGTCTTACGGAGCAAATTTTTGGGGAACAGCAGCATAGAGAATCCTCAATCCCTCCAAGGCTTGGGCAAGCTCTATAGTGATGCTCTCATTGGCGTCGAGTACCATCGTTTTATGCGTCTGATGGCGCCTCATACACCAATCTTTACGTACTTTTTCCGCTATAAAGGACGCTACAGCTTTCTGAAGCATCCGGATACCAATCAAACCTATGGTAAATGTTGACTGAAACTAAAATATTCGGTTAACACGATGTGTTTTTCAGGCGCCGTGCATCACGATGAGCTCTTGTATCTGTTCCAAGTGCCAATTGTAGCTCCTGCATTTAAAAAGAGCGACCCAGAAAATTTACTAATTGAGCGGCTAACGCGCATGTGGACAGAGTTTGCCAGAAAGGGGTAAGTCTATAGGATATCAAATCAGTGACAATATACTAATGTTTAATTTGTTTAGCGATCCCAACAGTGCGACTGATGAGTATTTAAGCCACCTTCAGTGGCCTCAGTACAATTGCCATGATCAGGCGTATTTGGAAATTGATACGAATCTTACGCCAAAAACTGGCAATATTTATGAAGAGCGTTACAAAATTTGGGATCAGCTCTTTCCCTATCCGAGCTTCTAAGCAAGTTCTTCTATATGTATATATATATATAAATATATATTTTTTTATATATGTAAATAAAGAATAAGCTTCAAGTGCTGAACATAAAAACGCCTGTTTATCTATAAATATTCTGTGTTCATTACGAAACTTCCAGTCCCCATTTGGGTGGTTTGCATATTTGGTGTAAAGGATATATATTGTTAGCATCGTATATATTCAGACATTACAGAACTCTTGATGGTTGAGTTAACTTGATAGACATAGTTCATTGCCCTGGGCCACAATAAATTAAAGAAAAGCATATAAGAGGCAATTGGATTAGAGATTAATTGGAATCAATTTGATTTACCGTCATATTGATTTTCTACCTTCTATAATACGTTTTATACTATTTGTTTAACTCGATGACTGGCAGGTTAACATAGAAATTGCTCTGGTTAGAACTCAGAGTCGGATAAAAGCATCAAGGCTGACAAAGCTATCCAGCGTTGGCAGCATATTTTCCAAATCTCTTATGAAAATTTCTTTCAATTTGCTATGCCAGCAAATAAGGCAGCTTTTCCTCTCAGCTTTACTGTAACATTTGGAAAATTGTTGTAAAAAAACAAACCTGCCACGTCGTGCAAATGGATATGCAAATGGGGCTCTCCATCGACAGGCAAATAACGAGTTGACTGCGAGAAAAATCATGGAATCGACTGAGTTGTTTCTGGCATATATTTTATAGATTTAAAATATGGACACATTTTTGTGACACTTTTGCCAATTGGAAAATGAGAGAATGACGAAAGTTTGTTGCTGTCCGACGGTCAGTTTTTGAGTCTTTGATGCTTAAGATTCGATTACTTTTGCTCTAAAGCAATCATGGGTATTTTTTCTTATTATACTTTGATGATTCTGTGTTTGAGTTGTGATATTTCATTCATTATGAAAAAACGATTTCAGCACACGTCTAGCAATGGCACAATTGATCATAATCAAGGGCTTTGAACTGAGAGGGTCTCACGGGAACTTTAAAGGTATTCAACGGCAGCTTTAATTCGATGAAAACATTTACATTTGCATGCAACAATGGCAGCTGCAGCTTTTTATGCAAAATGCGAGCGCTAATAACAACTACAACTACAACTACGGCCACAACAACAACAGAGACCATAGAGCTCATGAATTTTTGATTACACATTTGGCGCTGCGTTCAAAAATAAGCATCGCACATACAGCGGAAGTTGCGCTGCAATTTAATATTACGCATACGCCGTGTACGCAACTGATTGGACAGCGGTTAATGCATATTTCTGGATTACCCACACCATAATGAACTGCATGGTAATGAACGATATTTATATGCAACCGCGAACAGCAGTTTACAAATTTCACATATATTATATATCCGTATAATCAAATTATTTTTTGGTAACTCCATAATTAAGATACGAAAGAGCAAGAGGAAATGATCTAAATATCTATAAAGTCTATGGCGCATTCTCATAATTACAATTGATTTTAAAAATGTACAGAACTTCTACTGATGCTTCAATTTCTGTTTTTCTGAACTCCGTTGACTGCACAGCAGCTTCCACATGAGGTAGGATATCGACGCCAATATTAACACGCCCACACCAAAGAAGAGACCAAACACATCCAGACTATGATAAGCCACAAAACTCAGGTCCTGAGCTGCTACCCGCATGTGAGGTGCGCCTTTGTGGCGCAGCACGTACTCTGTCCACCAGATAGCTGTCTCCTGTGGAGTCATGGGCTGATCGCGGTACCGAGCTGACATAAGCTTTGCTGTTGTTCCAAATCGTGGTTCATGGATCAAACGCTTAATAGTCTGTACAAACTCTGTGCCTGTCATCGTCTTATGATCAAGACCCAGTCCAAAGCCTGACTGCTTAGCTCGCTCTACATTCAGAAACTGATCGTAGAAGAAGGGCAGCCCAAGTACAGGTTTGCCGTGATGAATGCTCTCTATGGTGCTCAGCAGGCCGCCGTGTGTGATGAATAGTTTTACATTGGGATGCGCTAAGATGTCGGGCTGGGGAAACCATTTGCTGATAAATACATTATGTGGTTTATTTGGCAGCACGTCATCCTCAAATTTCCAGAGAACACGCTGCGGCAGACTTGCAAAAGCCTGCAGCAGCATCTGCTTGCGCTCCTCTGGTAGATCCTTGCTCTTTACATTCGAACCCAATGAGAAATATATAACACCAGTCGAGCCGGCGCCTTGGATGAACTCCTCCACCTCCTTGGGCAAAGGCGCTGGCTTATGAGCGATATGTAGTCCCCCAACTTCGATCATATTGGGTACATACGGCCGGGGAAAGCTCAACGAGAAGTGTTGATTGACCAGCACCAACGAGAAGTTCTTGCCCAACTCCAACAGAGGCTTTTTATGAGCGACATGTGGAAAGTATTGCTCATAGAGTTTCACCTGCAACGGCATGTAGACCAGCTTCCAGTTAAGCCAGGCTATGGCAGTCTCAACAAAGTTATGCACACGTTCCCAGTAGGTCATTCGATCCGTGAGTCCTGCCGTCACGAGTGGAATATAGGAAATTGGGGCAGTGTTGCCCACCAGCTCATCGATATTCCAGTCTGTACCGAATGTGGAGATGCCAATGATCGGCGCATTAAAGTGAGCCGCGAAGCCATAAAGCGCGTCGGTACGCAAAGCCTCTACAATGATTAAGTCATACTGAGCCTTGCCGGGCTGTAGCAGCTCTTGTTGCACCTTCGCATTCTGCAAAACTGTTTTGGTGACGCTGATAAAAAAGTCGTTAATGAAATTGTTCTCTTGCCATGAATTTTTGGGGATGTCAAGATCAGCAATGATATCTATAATATTGAGAAGAACGACTGATTTAAATTTAGTTCGACACGCGTGGAATTTAGACGCACCTTCGTAGGACTGAAAAACTTCAGGCACTGCAATGTCACGAAAGTTTTCAATTGGTTTCTTTTGGGGAAAGGCATTAACTGAGGTCACTTGATGACCGCGTGCCGCGAGGCCCTTCAAATAAGGCTGCACATTGATGTATTGCGAGGGTCCCGGAAAGGGAAATATTGCAAGTATCCGCGCACCATCAAGGAGATCGGGCAGTGCTGAGACTAACAGCGAAAGGAAGCACAGCCTCAAACATAACATTCTGTAGACCGTGTGACTGGGCGCAATTCTAATATTCAACTGAACTACTGAAATAGGCTTGGTTTAATGGAAACATTGTTCGCCTCAGATTAGACTGTTGGATGTGCATGCGATAACAACTTTTACAGAGGCGATTACAGTCATTTGAATGAGCACCACAGCACGCCACCACACCCAACCTCACCTATATCGCAGCGAATGTCAGCATTTTTGTATTAGATTACGAAATTAGGCTCTGTCTCTGTTGCTGCATACGTCTGTTGCTTCTCAGCTCGTTTGAAATCTCATATGCGTGTGAGAAATACCAAATTTGCCAGTCATGATCATCAGCAAAAATGTTTAGAGCTTGTTACAACATGATTTTAAATATTGCGTAATTCAAAGCTAGACGTAATAGTACCCTGTAGACGTTGAATGTTCCTGATTGTATAGGCAATCGCTGGCAACTAGCTTCAGCGTGATAAGCAACTGGAGGAAAACTTTAAGGAAATGTATGAACATCTTTAATTCATGACGAATAAAAGCAGTATTTTATAATTAAAATACAAATTGTACTTTTACCTTTTTATACTTGTTAAGGTTACGTTTCTAACTCTAATAATTTCTGTATAATTCTGAACAACTTTAGAGGGTCACTTAGTTATTTTTAGTCTTTAACTGGGCTATGTGCATTTATAGAATATCTTTAGGTATATCAGAGTGTTAACAAACATAGACTAGCGTCGAGCCCTGAGCTAATAAATTGGTTTCATGATATACAAACGTAAATGTATATCAGAAATACATTTTAAAAATATTCATTAAGTCTTCGATTGGCCACAGTTAAATATATCTTAACAAAAAATTGATCTATTTCGCGAAATTGACGACAATCAAAATCATTATCTTAACAGCAAAACAAACGATGAAATCTTGTGAAATTTTTTCTTTTTAAGTGTTTTAATAACTTTGATGTTCGTGCTATAAAAAATTTTATCATATATGAATAATATATTATTAATCACATGTTAGTATTAAATTATAAAAGCATCGTAAAACGTGCAAAAAATTAGATCATAAGGTGAACTGCATTTAGTTTATTGCAGATACTACTGAGTCTTCTTTTCAGACCCTGTCTTGATGCAACGTTTACCAAAAATATTGCGAACAACTCGCAAGAGTGTCGCGAGGACTAGCAACAACAGCAAACCAATTAGTGAAGCAACAGCGCATAGCAAGCCCCAAGTATCCAAGCCATGAAGCTGAGCCAAGTTTAGGTCTCGCGATGCTGAACGCAGATGCGGTGCGCCGTTATGACGCAGTACATACTCCGTCCACCAGATGGCGCGGTCCAGCGGCGTGTCCTTCTGATCGCCATATAGCTTCGATTTAAGCTGTGCTGCCTGCGTGTAGCTCTCATTGCTGAGCAGCTCCACAATCACATCGTGCAGTTCTGCTGCCGTCATGGTCCACAAATTCAGGGTCAATCCAAAGCCCGCCTGCTTGGCGCGCTGCACATTCAAGTGTTGGTCGTAGAACACAGGCAGACCCAGCACAGGCTTGCCAAAATAGATGCTCTCAATGGTGCTCAGCAGCCCGCCGTGTGTGATGAAGAGTTTCACATTGGGATGCGCTAGTATATCTGGCTGTGGAAACCATTTGCTAATAAGTACATTGGCGGGCTGATCCGTTAACTGTTGCTGCTCAAACTTCCATAGAACGCGCTGCTTGAGCCTGCCAAAAACCTGCATCAGCACCTGGAGCCGTGCCGTGGGCAAATCGGCGCTCTTGATATTTGAACCCATTGAGAAATAAATAACACCATGCTGAGCTTCTGCCACAAACTTGGCCACGTCTACGGGCAGCGGCTGGGGTTCTCTCGAGTGCTGCAGATGTAGGCCGCCCACCTCAATCATATTTGGTAGATACGGACGCGGATAGCTGAGCGTAAAGTGCTGACCAAGCAGCATTAGCGAAAAGCTGTCTAGCACCTGCTCCAGCGTCTGGCTGGCCTTGGGAAAGTATTGCTTATACAGCCGCTCTTGGCTGGGTAAATGAACCACACGCCTGTGCAGCCAGCTAAGGCTGGCCTCCCACACGTTCCACAGCCGTTGCTCGTAGCTCATATGCTCAGTGCGTGAGGATAGCAGCATGGGATTAAAGGACAAAGGCGATATATTGCCCATAAGCTCGTCAATGTGCCGATCTGTGCCGTATGAGGAGATGCCCATAGTCAGTGCTTTGAAGTGCTGCGCCAGCCCAAACAATGCCTCGTTCTGCACAGTTTCAAGCAATACCAAATCGAAAGTCTCGTCGCTTTGGAGCAACTGCTTCACTTTCTCATCCTCCAGCACGCAGGTCGTAAGCATATTCAGGAACTCCGTGGTCATCGTCAGCATTGTCCACTGGCTGGCCTGCTGATTGTAGTCCGCACTGCCGAAAGCTAGTTAAAATAATCTAATCTTGTGCGCTTTGATAAAAATCATAAGATCTTACCAGCCATTAGTTCATGTATTTTAGTCGCACCAATTATTCTGACAGCGGACGACTCTTCGCTGCTGCCGAAGGTGTTGATAACCGTAACATTGTGATCCCTTCTAGCCAGCTCCCTGAGGTACTGCTCGGCGAATATGTACTGCGATTTGCCGGGAAATGGAAACACAGCCAAAATCTTGGCGCCCAGCACGCCAACTGCCAGCTGGTGGAGCAGCCCCACCAGAACTCCCAAGCCAAGCAGCTGCATTTTGGTACGAAAGTCAACCGAATGGATTTGCGATTCGTTCGCCACTGAAAAATCAAGCAACGAAAGTGTTTTAATTATCGCTTTTTTTTGGTGATTACGATTCGTCGATATTGAAGGTCGTTGGTTGGAAAACGTCAAAACTATTGAAGCGTAGCAACGGAGCTTTGTTACCCGATATAAATGTATAGGTATGTCTATTATATGTATCTATTTTTTGTATTTTTTCTTTTTTATAGCACAGCTTAAATCTATGTGGAAGCTCCGCGGCCATTGGCACGCGTCTGACAACAAATTGGTTTGTTTACTAATTCTCTGCTGTTATGCAATAGACGAGTCGTTGTTCTCTCTCTCTCTCTCTTTGTCTCTCTCATACACACTCTCTCTCTGTATACCTCTCTGTCATTTTTTTATTTGTATTTATTGCTCATGCTCTTCCACTATCTCGCTCAGCTAAATAAACATTTTCGCTTGTGTGTTGAATAGTATACAACGCAGTCTAGACCGGTCTGCCCAAGTATTGAGCGTAAGCGCGACTCTTTTCAGTTATTAAAACATTTTTACTCTCTGAGAATTTGAATTTGGTGATGACAATACGTATTATGTTGACTAGGGGCCACTTGATTTATGGGCTTCATTACCCAATTGTGACAAGTCTAAAAATACGAAAAAGAGAATTACTTTTATATTTATGTATTCTTAAACATTAAAAGTTTTGCTTAGTTTATCTATTACTAATTTTATTCTCTTATTAAATTATGTTATCAAGCTGATTAGAATATACCATATAATTTACACAAGTAAACACTATGAAGTGCAAGTTCATATAAACATCGTAGATAAGATAATGGAATATGTGACCGATACCGGGCCGTTAGCAAAACTTACATAGCTGCAATTACCGCGACTTTACAATCACCTTGTATACCACATATAGCAAGAGGCAAACGGGCAACCCAATACGTCCAACAATCACAAGCAGATTGTCCAGGCAATAGTAGTCCATCACCTTGATATTGGAACTGGGGATGCGCATATAGGGCGCACCATTATGTCGCAACACATACTCCGTCCAGTAGACCGCCAGGTCGAGTGGATGCACGGGCTGATCCCGAATGCGTTCCGAGAGTTTCAACGCATTGTATTTATATTGGGGCTGTTCCAGCAGTTGCTTGATGGTATTTTTAAAATCTTGCCTGGTCATTGTGTTAACGTCCAGCAGCTCTGCCACGCCTTTCTCGCGCATGATCTCTACGTTTCGGAACTGATCGAAGAAAAGAGGTAAGCCCAGCACGGGCTTGGCATAGTGCGCTGCCTCTAATATGCTCAGCATGCCACCATGGCTGATGAGCAAGCGCACATTGGGATGCGCGAGGAGGGCTTGAAGTGGCAGCCATTTGCTGAAGTAAATACTGCTGTTTGCCATAGGATGTACATTGTCTTCGTATTTCCAGATGACGCGCTGTGGCAGGGACTGGAAGGCTTCAGTTATCAAGGCCTGGGTCGCCGCCGACAGATGCCTGCTCTGTAAATCTAAGCCCAGGCACATGACAATTACACCATGTGGTGCCTCTTCAATAAACTGCATCAGCTCCGGAGGCAGCTTTGCCAGCTCTTTTGGCACATGCATGCCGCCCACCTCCACCAAGCTGGGCACATTGGAGCGTGCCGGGAACAAGCTGAAGTGCTGGTTTAGTAATATGATCGAGAAGCTGTGGCGTATCTCCATGAAGCTCTGCTCCAGGTGGCCGAAGAAATGTTCGTGTATTGCTCGCAATGATGGTAAAAAGATTAACTTATGGATCAGCCACTCCTCGGAGATTAGTACCCAGTTATTGATACGATCCAGCAGTGTTACGGCGCGCTTAAAGCCACTGGGCATGAGAGGCTCCAGTGTGGAAGAAGGAATGTAGCCCACTAAGGTGTCCAAATTCCAGTCCGAGCCACACGTGGCCAGACCAATTAGAGTGGCATTGAAGTGTGGCGCCAGTCCAAAGAGGGCATCTGTGTGAGTGGTTTCTATGATCACCAGATCGTAAGTCACATTGGAGCGCATTAGCAGCTGCACCTCTGGCGTGTAGACCACATTCAAATTGATCTTGATGAAATATTTTCGCATAAAATCGACTTCGAACCATCTGGACATTAACGGAAGTGATTCGGGATTGAAATCTATTTTGGGACAATAAGTTAGTTGAGCATCAAGTACTGACTTAATGAAGCCAAAGACCCAACAAATTTCATCCAACAATCTGTTTTAACTCACCGTAAGCAGTGTCATATTGATCGTTGATGCGTATGGAATGCAAATGCTTTACAATTTCGCAATTGCGAAAAGCGTGTATCAAGGTCAGCTGATGACCCCGCGCCAATAGCGCCTGCAAGTATGGCGTTAATAGCATGCACTGTGAATGCATCTCGTAGGGGAACACGGCCAGTATCCTGGCAGCCCACGTAGGGCATTCCTGCAGCATGAATGTTAGGAGGGCGAGACTCCCAATCAGCAGCTTCTGCAGCTGCATTGTAACAGACTCGCGTTCACAGTTCTAGCGAAAGGCAAACGCGGAATCCGACTGATGCAGACAGACGCTCGCCATGCTCTCTGCAACCAACTACCTATGGCATACCAGTGATAAGATTAGCTGTACGTTCCGCAACCCATGAACATTACGTAATTCCAGTAATGCATAGAACGAAAAAGAACACTGAAATAAATGGAAGTGGTAGCCCACCTGAACGGCGGTTTGTTGGTAACTGGTTTGTGCTTTGAATTTCCACCTGCCGCCAGCATATTAGCAGTGTTCTTGTACAGTTTTCATCGCTCTTTCTGCCTATATTGAAATGCCGTTCGGTAAAGCCTATTAAAGACATTCTACAACTCATTCAGTTTAAGCTGGCACAGCTTCACCTCTCTAGTAGGCCTTTCTGGCTAAGGTCCATCTGTAATATCGACTATCTTGCACTTTGGCTCTCAGCGCTCACGAGCCCATCTCGTCTGGTGAGTATTCCAGCGATTTTGCCTTGTTGAGGAACTACAACCCCAACAATAGCAATTGAACATTAGTTTCGAGTTGTGCAGTCTCTGGTTTTAAGCGCTGACACATTCGGCTCTCTGTTCTTTCAATTTTGTTTTGAACTGTTATCAATTGATAACGACACTTTAACACGGCGATTAAAATAATTACTTTTTTTGTTTGATACTACATTGATAAGCAAATAATATTGTGAATATATATATTTTGAGTCAAATGTTAAGGAAGTTGCAAATATAAACACATACAATTTTGCTGCTTTCCAAGCAGCCAGTGTCTGACCTGTTCCTGCCAATATCGGAATCCGACTGGCAGGGAAATGGCATTCGCCCTTCGGGCTGTGAATTCCAATATCAGTGATAAGATTAGCAGTCCTCGCAAAAACTGTGCCCAAAGTCAATTCAAGTTTATCGACAATTTCAATAATGTCCAGTACGAAAGAGAGCATTGCAATGCACGGACGCGGCGCCGCAGTATGGTAGGGTACGTGAGTGGCGCTTCACTGGTATTTGCTTTGTGCTTGCAGCAGGTATTTGCCGCCAACATATTAGCCGTAATTTCATTTACTTCTCCGTCGTCTTTTATACTCTTGACGCCATACGTAAAGGCGCTTGTCCTCAAAGGCCATGAGGTAACTATCATTTCAGCTGGAAGTCAACATGTGGCGGACTTTGATGGCGTTCATCATATACGGGTCAATGCCTTAAATCACTTAATAGAAGGTGAGCAATAGATTAACCACCCACAGGGCATTACGATTCGTTCTTATTTTAACGTAGCTTGAGAATGATCATAAGGGCAAACATTCTCGATAAGTGATTAGGCAAATAAAAATTTAGTACTATTATTTTTATTTTATAATTATTAATTTCATTATTTTTTACTTTTAGTAACTTTTTCAAATTTTAAAAAAATTGTAGATTTCAGAGAATCTTGCATGGACTTAAAATTTCCCATGCAGAAGTGGGAAGAGGCCTCGTTCGTCGCAAACTTTTTCTACAATTCGTCCTTCCATGTTCTAAATGACCCCGGAGTCCAGTCATTGCTTCAGGACAAGAGTGCACAATTCGACATGGTCATTGTAGAAACAACCTTTACAGATGCTTTATATGGCTTTGCCCAGCACTTTAACGCCCCACTGGTGGGACTATCGATCTGTGGGGCCTCTTGGAACATTAACTATCTGGCGGGAAATAAGGCCATTAGCGTATACGAGCCAATTGTATCAAGTGGCTATTCCACTGGTTTCAGTGTGCTTAATAAGATTAAAAACTGGATATACATTACAGAGGAGTGGCTACTGGAGCAAATGATATACCTGCCTAAGCAATTGGCGCTGTACAAGCGGTTTTTCAATGAATCTGCCGAAAGTCTGCATAATATTCGGCAAAATTTTGCTTTGATACTGATCAACCAGCACTTCAGTCTGGGGCGAGCCAGATCAAATGTTCCAAATGTCATTGAGGTGGCGGGAATGCACTTGGAACAGCCGATCACAGAGCTCGATCAGGAGCTGCAACAATTTATGGACGAGGCCGAACATGGAGTCATCGTCTTCTCGATGGGAACGGCAATAACTGGCAAGTGGTTCCCTGATAAGCTCATCGAAATGATGCTGCAAAGCTTTGATCAGCTACCACAGCGCATTGTCTTAAAATTTGATCAGCCGTTGCCCATCAAATCGCATAAAATTTACCTAAGATCGACACTGCCACAGCGTGCGTTGTTGGCCCATCCGAAGGTCAAATTGTTTATCACCCACGGTGGTATTTTGAGTATAATTGAGGCTGCCTATTCTAGTGTGCCGATGCTGTGTATGCCGCTGTATTACGATCAGCTCGGCAACTCAAAGCTTATGGAGCAATCAGGATTGGCTCAAATTCTCGACTTTTCCACCATGACAGTTGAGTCCATTACGAATTCAATCAAGGAGATTATCGAAAATCCTCTTTATAAGCAAAATGCGCAGCAAATATCAACAAGGCTTCGGGACTTGCCTATGAGTCCGCTGGAGAACGCCGTCTGGTGGACTGAATATGTTCTCCGTCACAAAGGCGCACCACATATGCGCATTTCGATGGAAGATATGTCCCTCATACAATACTATAATCTGGACTTTATATCCGTATTAATTCTCCGGTCTGGAGTTGCATTATTAATTATTTTCTGTGTGAGCCTTAAGTTGGTAATTTTTCTGTTGCAACGCTCACAATTTCGGTTGACTGTTCCGATTCTCTATTGAGGAGTGCTTATCGAATGAATGAGCTGAAAAAAGAATGATACAGAGAAAGAAAGAGAAAGAGAGAGGGAGAGAGAAGTTGGCTTAGTTGTAGGTATAAAGCATTAAGAGAGAGGGGAGCTTACGTTTTAATGATTTGTAATAACTAAATAATTTATAAATGGAGCATAAAATTATAAAATATTTTCCATATACAAATTAGTTAATAAAACTGAATATTTAATCACTAAGTGCATACATCTAAAGAAGTTAAGAAATTAAAATTTAAACAGCTCCACTTAACGTTCGCTTACAATATAAAACGTGTAAGCTTGTGATAAGACAATTTGTGGAATTATTTATATTTCCTAATTTGAATTAATTAAATATAGATGTCTAGAAAATATAAAACAAAAGCTATTTTTATTTTTCAAATATAAGCTTTTCATAAGAAATTTAAATACGATGTTTACATGGGAGTATAATGAATGGAATTTCTTTTCATTGGCTCATTGAAGAGAAGCCGAAAAAAGGGTCAAATATTCAAAGTACTCTCGGCAACTGCTACGTATATTCTAATTAGAAAACTTTTTATCATAGCGCGGTCATTATCTATCTATACCTTTCACCCCAACTCTCATCAAGACCCTGTCACAAGTGTAACCGCGCTCATTACGCATTTTACATCAATCAGCACGTGCCCAGCATGTCTTAAACTCTTTCTTAACGATTCTTTTTTGTATTTTTTGGCCAAGGGAAAAAATTACATGAAAAAAAGAAAAGTGGAGAAAACATTAAAATGCGCAGTCAAAGCCGGGGAAAGAAGTGCGCACAATTGCGCTCATAATTGCGGGCTAAAATACTCGGAAACGTGCCTGGCAACGGGGAGGGACTCGACAAAGGTACACATTTGGTTATTGAAGCGTTAGGCGACTGTCCCTGGCTGCAAACTACAACCGCAGACGCTCAAAACAACGCGGCGAGCATGAAAACCAAATACAGTAAAAGCTGCTTAACAGGGACAGCAGCACAACAAATATCCGAATCGGGGAAGTGCAAGAAAAAGTGATTGACAAATATTTCAAATTTATTCTTGAAGTGAATTTATTTGCTTATTATTTATATATTATTTCCCATTGGTCTTAAGCATGTTGCACTGTAGTTGCATGAGCATGAATAATAAATGGTCTCACTTTGAAGTTGTGCTGTAATTGATAAGTAAATTGTACAAATTTCGAGTACGAATTAAAGAGAAAAACAATTTTCTTTAAGCCAAAAGTAGGCAAGTGGACGTGAGTCCAACGTTAAACATGCAAATAAGTTAGCTTCGGGATCAGCCCACACCAAAGGCCAGAATTGTCCTCAACGTGTTGTCAATTTGATGTTTATTGCAGATTTTTATTTGATTTTATGTTGGAGCATTTGAATTTATGGGCTGGCCATAAACTCGCGAGTGTCTAATCCAAAAAATTCCTGTGAAATTGCCAACTCCCTGTTGGCATCAGTATCGAGCTAAGCCATTTTTATTGGCCATTTGGTAGGCCAGCGAAAAGTTTTTGGTCAATGCTCAAGTGGGCGGCTTTCATTGGCGCTTAACTAACTGAAATTAAGTAAACTTTCTTTTGACTTTCATAAGCCTTTTAATAAGCCATAATCCCACAGGCCTGATCCGGATTGTGCGCGCACTCACACAAAGACACTCGCACACACAAGCACACACACATGCACATCATAAAAACTAATTAACATTCTAAGGGGAAGGCCATGAAAAACGCATGCAATAAATATCATCAATGGTAGCAAAGGAACTTTATTAAAAGTACTTTTAATCAAATTCCAATGTGACTGCTGCTCCAGATGCGTCTGCTGTTGGCGCAGCTTTAGCTTTTCACTGGGGATACCATTTGAGGCCTGATTAACTTTATAACTCGCATGAAAACTGTGTTGGCTGTTCCTTTGTAACTATTATAGCAGCTGATATTTGCAACCTTTCGACTCAATCAGTGGGCATGCTGACTATGTTAACAAGTCAGTGCATGCATCGTCAGAGATACCCATGGAGAAAGAGATAAGCATGGAGACGTTGAGTTGTTTGCAATGGAATAACGTGAGCTAATTTATAAAGTGTTCATATATTGACTCCATTACGTCTTTATGTATATACATAAAATTGTGAAACGCTAGAGTATTTCAGCTTCGGTCTCATCGCTGATTATTTTCATATCTTGTTTGTTAGAAAAGTTGTGCTGCAGGCTTTTAATTAGCGTCTGCCGCCAAAGTCCCAGCGTGTATTACGCATACGAACCGTTGGCTGACGCACCCACAGCGGCTGCTGCTGCTGTTGCCATTGGGGGCGTTCGTCGCATTGTCGGTGATGCCTCTGGGCGGCTCGGGCACGATTTTAATTAATTAGACTTTTATGAGGCGTGCATGCAGCTAGGCGACGGGTTAAAGCCCAGTTATTGTTTTCGGCTCTATAAGCGACTTTGTCGTGGCCGCGTTTTCAGGATTAGCACCAGTCATATATGCAGCACACACACATACACAAGCTTTAATATAAAAATGGAGCATTATTTGTTGTTGCTGTTGGAGTGATATTTGGCTGGACATATCCAAAAGGCCCCTGTTCACTGTGGTAATGAAAATTGTGGTCACATTATGCTCAGCATTCGGCATAATTGCAGCCAGGCTATGCGATTATGCTCAGAGATTACTTTTTGTGGCCGGCCGTTGACCAAAGGCAACACCAATCAGAACAACAAGAACAACAACAACACCAACAGCAACAACAATGGCGAGGCACTAAATGTAATGCCAGCGAGCGGAGTACCCATAATAAAAGCCAGACAGTGTCGCATTTGTATGAAGAAATAAAAATAATACCCTGCATCTTTATACAAGTGTGCGTGTGTGTATTGTTGATTTTACGCTCTGTTCTTTTTGTTGTCAGGCAAATTAATTTCCACTCCTTTTTTGCTTTACTTCTCTCTGCGAACAGCAAATTTGGAGTTGCTCAGTTTTTAAGAAGTTGGGAGCCAGAGGCCGTGGGGGAGGAGGGGCGTTGGTGGCTTTGCAAGCCACATTTACTGTGGTTGCGCCAGCAATTTGCCAGCTCTGTTCACTTAACTGAGGAATTGCGGTGAAATAGTTGGAGCACAGGTTTCTACACAATGAACTACGATTCACACACAAAAGAGATAAAGAAACGAAGAGTAATGAATCAAAGAAAGCATTTCAAGATTGATTTAAGCTCTTCAACGTATTAAATGCTAATGCTAAAAGAGTTCAAGTATTATACATATACATATTTGGCTTTAAATGGTTTACCTTTGTATTTGTGTAGAAAAAATGTAGATAAAGATTAGCTCTTGAGCGCCTTAATATCAAGAGGATATGTGCTTATTTCAAAGCTCCTTCGCTGCATTGGCAAGCTATTCAAAGAGGAAATATAGAATTAAATGCAAATGCATAAAAATGCTTTTCAAATAATAATTAAAATGCACACAAGAATTATGCGTTGGAGAAATAAAAAAGTTTTGGTCAACATATAAAAGAAAGAAAAGGAATAAAAATAAAAGAAATTATTGTTATGATTATTATGCATTATGCTGGCAGCAACAAAAGAAATGAAAACCCGACCCAAGCTCCGGCTCAGAGCTATTGCATAGAGACAGAATTATACAGGCAGCAACAACAACAGCAATAACGTGGCAAAAACGTAATCCGCTTGTTAAAAATGAACGAAAATAAAACGTAGCTCAACAAGGAGACGACAGGCGAGCCAGAGAATTGGGCAGAGCTGGCTGGAGACGTGGAGACGTGGACCGAGGCAAGTGCGGGTGCTGGCGCGCAAAACATAATCATCATAAACCGGAAATATCCCGACGGCGAAACATCCGCACATAAATTTCTTAAATAGTCTACAATTTTTCGTTGCTGTTCGGCATTTGCCGTTTGCTGTTTTGCTTCTCATTGTTGCTACTTATTGTTTGTGTTGCTGTTGTTGTTCTTGCTGTTGCCGTATCGCTTGTAAATACATTTAAGTATCTGCCGCCCACCCACGGCGTGCAAATACAAACACAAACGCAAACTTGTCCAACTGCAATAAACACACAAATTAACCCCTAATACCAACAGACCAACTGGGCTCGTCCCTGCCTGTCTCCACACAAGCCCTTTCCGCTTCGAATGACAATGTGGCAGGACGAATGTCCTGCCTCAGCAGTTATTGTGGCACAACAACAACAACAATACACAACATAAATAAAATATTACAATTTTAATTTGTCTCTAATCCCAAAGGGCACGGAGTTGAGGCCGTAGTTCATGGCCCTTGCTTCTTAAGGGCATTTTGTGGCTTGGTTTACTCCAATCCCTCTGTTACCTCCCTTCATCATAGCCCCCAAGCTAGGGCCTTCATAAATTGTCCGAATACATACGAAACTGTATTTATTTTCAACACATAAAGAATGCGAGCCAGGCATAAATCAAAAAGATATAAACAATTTCCGAATACGCTGTCAGCGTACGGCACTAGAGGTAAATAAGGTCGAGGTCGTGGCTTAAGCTTTTGATTGAAGACCTGCTCAATCAGGCTTTATTGTCTGCTCGGCTCATATGTGGGCCACACAAATAACCACTCGAGCAAGTCCTAAAGAAGTTAAAAAGTTTCAGTTAGCTAACTATTCTTGACTTCTTAGCTGAACAAAGAAATTGGCAAAATATTGCAAATTTTTTCTTTGACTGTAAAACTCGATTTGCAACTTTGAAGAGAAATATAAAAGACAACTTTAAAATAAAGAACATATATTTGGCAATAATTGAGAAAATTTTAAATCTCTATTAAAGCATAAATAAAATCAGTAAAAAGCAAAAACAATGCAGTTGAATTAGCTCTCGGGCTACTGAAATGAATATCCAAGTGTTAGTAAAGTAATAAACTAGACAAATACCGAGAGATATCTCAATTTAATGCAATTTATAGAGTCTTCAATGCGTTCTGTTTCGCAATTTAAATAAAATTAATTGCTTTCAAATCGAATCATATGAACGCATTGACTTGCTTATTCGAGAATTTGTTAACATAGATAATTTGAATAATAATACTTTAACCATTACTAAGTGATGAGCGCAGTGAGGCTTAGTCAGCAGCTGAGCCAAATTCAAGCGTTCGTCGCTCTTTTCTCAGTTCA